TATAGAGAAATTGATCAAGATAATTTTATTGCAATAAATGTGACCACCAAAGGGGTTGAAGTAAAACAATGAATTATCTAAGCTTACATATATGAATTCCAAATTATCATGACTACGTGGACATAGAGTCAAAAGACTGAACAAAACTTTCTGTATCTATGCCTAGCTTGTATGATTCCAGAAACTATACTAGACTTATGGTAGAAACAGAATGCCAGGCTAGATTAGCAAATATTTTAAATAAATTTTGTTTACAACTTTGCAATGTAGAAGTAAAAAATGAAAAATGATTTGTTCCTGGGTTTTCCTACATAGTCCTGACAGTGGCAGCTATTATGGCAGACATTCTACCCACCGAGAATCTTAAGACATGATCAAGATATGATAGACAAGCTACTCAGCAATGGAGATGTTGAGCCATTATGTTTAAAGCATAAACAGGCATTTAATAGATCTTTCTCTAAATATTTTGGTATGCAGCAGTGGTGCACTCACTGTCCTTAGTGATATTGGAGAATTTCACTGAATCTTTTAAAATGAATTGATCCAATATACGTTTACTAAATCACCATTCTGTTCTACTTTCCTTTGGATTCCGGACTTGCTCCTATACTTTTTCTGGACCTTACACAACAATTCTCTATTCAAAATGTGCATATCAGAGAAAACTACATTCAGTAGGAGAAAAATGTGCAAAATATGTACTATGGAGCAGCATCAAAATCCCTGCAGGACTGTCTTCTCCAATAGGTTTTGGCCTCCTGATTCATATATCAAGGGAAAAGCTGCTAGTGAATCCCCATTTTTATGAGGTGACGTCAACTATCGTAGGTGTTGGGTTGTTGTTATTGTTGTTTTTCTCTCAACTGGAGCACCTGCATTGCAAAGAGTGAGTGGATCAGCCCTCACATTGTTGTGAGTGGATCAGCCCCCACATTGTTGGTTTTCCATAAGTTACTGAAAACAGAATTATTTCAGACAGCCTTGGGAGATTGAAGCGATGCTATCATGGCTGGCTTCTGTTTGTGGTAGCAGTTGTTTTATTTTTAGCTACTTATTTAATTATACCAAGGTTATTTTATATTATTATGCTTTTTATGATTTCATTGTAAACTCCAAAAAGGCATTTTGATTGTGGCAGATACAGATCCAGCAAAATAACACAACACGTAAATAGGGAAAGCTACCTATTTAAATAAGGTTTGGGTGTTTGTTCATTTGTTTTGCGCATTACTTAATGAAGGGGAATGTGTTGGAAAGTATCGCATGTGAAACATAAACATGTGCCATCATTCTTCTTAGCTTCTTCCTCTTAGCAACCAGTGCAAGTATGCGCTAGTTTATACATAAATACAGTGTAAATTTAGAAAGGAATGACATGACCGAATATAGGAATGTTTAATAATTCCAGCTGTTTCTATTGCCAAAACAGTGTTAATTGTACGCCAAAGGAGATGTCAATATACTTGGAAAAATTAAAGTGAAGGCATCAAAGTTGGTGAGAGGGATAACAGGTGGGAGGGATAAAAGAATGAATATCATAGGTATGTCTTATTAACTAGAAGATTTCTGTATAACACCAGTTCATTCCAGCAGGATATACTGATCTTAATGTAATGTATGTGTATAAAAATTAACAATTTTTTTAGTGGTAGAGTGAAATTTGAAAGCTGTATCTATCATCTTAGCCATCAGGTTTGTCTGAAATTGGTGGCAGAACTTAGAAGTCTAATAAAACTCCAATTATATCCTGCATGCCTGAATTCTGCCCATCTCTGATATAAAATAAAAAAAACATATCAGAATCTGTGTTGCTCTGAATTGGATTTATAGTTGATCTAATGTCCTTACCGATTGGCATTATCCTCAGAGACTTTCCCCAGCTAACTAGTTAAGCTGGGAATTTAGGCTGGAGCTTTTTAATCTATATTTATTTATTTATTTTAAAAATGTTATTAATTATATATTCTACTCATCTCATTAAGTGAATCTGAGCAGCTTACAATACAGTAAAAACACAGATTAAAAAAACTTTTTAAAAATATTAAAATTCACATGAATTAAGTAAAACTATTAACTAAGTTCAAGAGCAGTACAGAAGTGAGTTCTTTGTACTCCATCAGCCTACCTCCAACTTAAAGCATCCTCATCGGGGGCCCGGGTCAATCAATAGAACCAGGAATTGAAATTCTTAAGGAAGGTCAAGAAGATGGAAGCCAATGACACCTCCAGTGGTAAGAAGCTTCAAAGGCCGGGGCCACAGCAAAAAAGTCTCTTCTAACCCCTGCCAGCCAGAATTCCTTGACCAAGAGGGTTTGTAGTATGATCCTTCTGGTGGAGCTAGTGGGGCAGATCAATTTCATTGGGGCAAAATGGTTCTTCGTGTAATTTTTCCTACCACTGAGACCTTTTGAGATTATTTCTATACTTTGATGGCCTGTACTCTCCCAGGTTTTGAAATTTCATAGGGAAGTAGTAAAGACATTTAGCCAAGTGAAGTACAAACATTTGTATTTACCTGACAGGAAAGAAATGTATTCATTGTGAAGTAGCCAATTTTCCCTTGTTCATACTTGTAACTGCTAAAATTATCATTAGGGCAATGCCTCCTTGAGATATTTTTACCCACATAGGTGTGTCAAACAAACCTCAAATACAATAAGAACAAGATCAAACAATTTGCCCTTTGTAAAAAAATATTATCCATATTTCTCCACCAGAAATAAATGCACAAAGACTTCCCGGTGCATATTTACTTTTCATTTTACTGTGGCAAATATTTAATTACCAATCATTTCTTTTTAAAGTAACATTTATAATCCCAAATAGCATATGTTTAGAATTATAGCCAAATGCATGCCAAAGCAATAGTAGAACTATTTCAGACTAAATGCAAATATTTCTCATATGCAGATATATCTGCTCTTTAATTCACAAACAAGTAGGCATTATATAACTTCATTTTCATTCCCTACATTTTTATTTACTCATTTTTTCCATCAAAATAACTTTTTAAAAAAGAAAATATATTCTGTCTTGCTGTTTGGTAGTCGCCTGGACAGATAGTTAAATAAGCCAGAGAATAAAATTATTTATACTAATTCTAAATTGATAAGTTTTGCTTTATTAAAAAAAGGGACATCAAGATTGGACAGGGACGGTAGGCATGATTGGTGCGCTTATGCACCGCCCCCCACAGGCCTCTTAGGAAGGGGGTAGGGTCAATAGTAGACAGTCTAAGGTTAAAGTTTTTGGGGTTTGGGGAAGAAACCACAGAGTCAGGTAGAGTATTCCAAACATTGACCACTATGTTGCTGAAGTCGTATTTTCTGCAATCAAGTTTGGTGCAGCTAACCTTGAGTTTGTATCTATTGTGTGCTCTTGTGTTGTCAAGATCGAAGCTGAAGTATTCTTTTGCAGGTAGGACATCGCAATGTATGTTTTTATATACTATAGTTAGATTGGACCAGTGGCCTAGAGGTGAAGATGCTCACCTCCTACTTGGAAGGTTGAGAATTCAATCCTAGGCAGTGACTGATGTTTCTATATCAGTGCGCTAAGAGAAAATATCAGCTTCAAACTCCACATAGGTGGCTGGAAAGGTTCCGGCCAGTAAATGCTCAGCTCCAATCAGTTGTCCTGACTCCATTCTAATGAAAGGGATTAGAGGGTCATAAAAGAAGAAAAAGTCAGCTTATAGCAGCCATTCAAAATTGACTTAATAACTGGTCCTCATATTTAATGACTTGTTGCAGTATCCCCACAGTCATGCGATCAAAATTTGAGTGCTTAGCAATTGGCACGTATTTACAGAGGCATCTTGGGGTCATGTGATCACCATCTGCAACCTTCCCAGCCAATTTCCACCAAGCAAAGTCAATGGAGGAAACTGGATTCAGTTAACAACCATGTGTTTTATTTAACAACTAAAATGATTTGTTTAACAATTATGGCAAAAAAAAAAAGATGGTAAAATCAGGCGCCTTACTTAACATTGGAAATTGTTGTTCCGGTTGTGGTAATAAATTGAAGACTACCTGTCCTGTAAAAGACAAAAGGAATAAAACTCTGAAATTGTATCTATAGGTGGAAAATATGCTTCCGTTCAGTGGTAGGATTCAAAAATTTTTACTACCGATTCTGTGGGCATGGCTTGGTGGGCATGGCAGGGGAAGGATACTGCAAAATCTCCATTCCCTCCCCATTCCACTAACCTTCTTTCCAGCTCCGTTCTTCTGTGCAGGGCAACAAAAGAAGACGCAACCGATCAGCTGAGACTCGGGAGGCAGAGAATAGATGAGGACGGGGCCAGTCACAGGTGGTATTTGCTGGTTCTCTGAACTACTCAAAATTTCTGCTACTGGTTCTCCAGAACTGGTCAGAACCTGTTGAATATCACCTCTGATTCCGTTCATTTTCTAAATGGATCCTGGCATGCCACATAAACTTTACCCTTGGAAATACTTCTTACTCTTGCCTTAAAACGAATGCTATTTCATCACTGCTTTTTCCAACCATAATAATTTTCCAATAAAGTCTGCTATTCTTTTAACAACCTTGTTTATGGAGATGTGTTTTCTGTTTGAATACCTCCACTATTATGTTTCTTATGAACATACATTACAGAGAAGTAATATTGCTGTTCAGATTTTGGATGGAAATGACTGCATATTGTGTGTCTGGGGAGAGGATGCAGAGATAATATAAGTTTTTTTTTAAATGGAATATCTGATAAAACAAGAATATCTGATATTTAATCACATTATAACAATCTGAGCCTACATGCCAGTCTAGACTAATTTTTATAATCCCTTTTAAGAACTAGACATGTTTTTGCTTTATTCCTTCAGATATTCAGAAGAGAATTATTAGGCTTTCTTAAAATGAATTACCTGCGGCTATTGTTTGTTAATTATGTGGTGGTATGCTTTAAAAGTCTATAGTCTTGGCCCATAAATTCTATGTGTAAATGATTTTTAATTTGTCTCTTTGACTACTAGTCTCTCCCAGCCTGTTACAGTCATGGAACATCAACAAAGTATTAATTTGGAAGAAGAATTTGAAGCCCCAGAAGCTGTACATACAGGTAATCAAGTCAAAATATCCCTGGTACAAATGATAAATGACTGCTTTCTGGACACCTTGCTTAACACTGAATTGTAATGGCAGCAGCAAGAACATGTTGTAGAATTAGCATGTAAAGCTAATTCAATATATGCATAAATTCAAAATTTTGTGTGTGTGTATATATCTGCGTCTGTCTGTGTGTCTGTATATGTATATAAAATAATAATAAAATTATTATTATTGGATAGGAGGGGAAAAGAAAGTTAAAAAGTGAACGATTAAGAGCAAAGTGGATAGACTCAGTGGCATCATCTCTAATATCTGAAGAACCAGGCTGAGAAAGTTTATCCTGGACAAAAATCTATCTTCTCAGCCTTTTGGCTAAAATCAAGTGTTGTGTCTCTGTGGTCATTAGGATTCAACACTAACTTGTTGATGCATAATCAGTGTATGGCCACAGAAAATGTGTGTAAAAATGGTACTTTAAGTATGAATCAGGTAAACTGAAAGAGAGTCAACTAGGATTCTAATATGGGGACATAGGATGTATAATAACAGGAAGCTCTGGAAAAAAAACTCCACTAATGTTTGACCGCACAATTCGTAAGAGAAATTTATAGAATTTGGAAAGCTTTCTACATTTCCTCTCCATATTCTGTATTAAAAGAAATAATTAGTCCAAGCCAGATCTTTTACAATCACCACAAGAACAAACTAACTAGCTAACTTTCCACCAGTAGAACCAAAATTTGTATAAGATCCATAATTATGAGTTTTTGCACCCAAATGCCTCCTGATACAGCTCACTCTATCTATCTATCTATCTATCTATCTATCTATCTATCTATCTATCTATCTATCTAATCAGTTATCTAATGCAGTGGTTCTCAACCTTCCTAATGCTGCTAATGCAGTTCCTCATGTTATGTGACCCCCAACCATAAAATTATGGCTCGGTTCATAAGACCATCGAAAATATGTGTTTTCCGATGGTCTTAGGTGACCCCCTGTGAAAGAGTCATTCAACCCCCAAAGTGGTCATGCCCCACAGGTTGAGGACCACTGATCTAATGTATATGACACCCATCTCACTATCCAAAGCAACTCTGAACATTTTAAAATACAGTAATTTTTGGAGTGAATTGAATTGGAAAAGCTTTTGCAAATATTTCTTTTTAATAAAAAGGCAATATTTCCAGCCTCCATTGGGGAGATATCTGCCTGCGCATTTGCGTTTCTATTTTCCTCACTAACCTTCTTCATCGAAACAGCAAAAGAATTGAAAATTAAAAAGAGAGAAAAAAAGAAAGAAAGTAAACCCAAAGAACACGAAATGAGAGCATTTTCTTCTTCTAGGACCTAAAGGGGTGATCAATGACTGGAGAAAATTTAAATTGGAGAGCCAAGACCAAGACCGTCTTCCTCCAAGCAAGAGAGAGCTCCTCATCAGGCAAATCTCTTCGCCCTACAACTGTCAAAGCAGAGATCACAGAGAACGAGAACGAGTCAGTCGTAAGGTAAATGAGGGAAGGAAGACAATGTAATGGAAAAGATGCAGGGGGGAAGGTTTCAGATAGTTTTTCCATATATTCAAGGAATATGAGGTAGGGTTGTTATGCGAATGCACATAAAATTACATTTTCACTATGTATATCAGATGTCAGATATATAGTTAATATGCATTAGACCAGAGGTCTCATTCTTGCAGCCTGCAGGACGATATCCTGTGGCCCCCACCATGATATGAAAGTATAATATTAGTGTATAATATAAATATAAAGTATAATATAAAGTATAATATTATGTGGCCCAGCCTCACCCAGCCTCTTCCTTCGGTGGCCCCCAGGTAAATTGTGTTTGAGACCCCTGCATTAGACTGAATATGGCATCGTACATGTTTCAAATCAGAACTGTTCCAGACAAGATAGATCCTGTTTAATAAATTGTTATGGGTATAAAAGCCATGTCACACATTCCACATTCCTAGAAAGTATAGGGACATTCGTGTGTGACCCCTCAACCTCCCTCTTTCACATATTCCTGGAACATGTAAATGAGATCATTTGAACCCCTGGAATAGTTTTGGAGATCTTTTAGCCCTTGAAATGTGGCAAACAACTCCTTGGTGTAGCCTAGAAGAGGGATGCTGGGAGCCCAGTAAAATCTAGAAAACAACAGGTTTTTTACCTGTCATAGAACCAAATACAGGTGAAACTCAAAAAATTAGAATATCATGCAAAAGTTCATTTATTTCAGTAATGCAGCTTAAAAGGTGAAACTAATATATGAGATAGACTCATTACATACAAAGCAAGAAAGTTCAAGCCATGATTTATCATAATTGTGATGATTATGGCTTACAGCTCATGAAAACACTAAATCCACAATCTCAGAAAATTAGAATATTGCAAAAAGGTTCAATATTCTAGGCTCAAAGTGTCCCACTCTAATCAGCTAATTAAGCCATAACACCTGCAAAGGGTTCCTGAGCTTTTAAATGGTCTCTCAGTCTGGTTCAGTAGGAATCACAATCATGGGAAAGACTGCTGACCTGACAGTTGTGAAGAAAACCATCACTGATACCCTCCATAAGGAGGGAAAGCCTCAAAAGGTAATTGCAAAAGAAGTTGGATGTTCCCAAAGTGCTGCATCAAAGTACATTAATAGAAAGTTATGTGGAAGGGAAAAGGTGGAAGAAAAAGGTGCACAAGCAGCAGGGATGACCGCAGCCTGGAGAGGATTGTCAGGAAAAGGCCATTCAAAAATGTTGGGAACTTTCACAAGGAGTGGACTGAGGCTGGAGTCATTGCATCAAGAGCCACCACACACAGACGGATCCTGGACATGGGCTTCAAATATCGTATTTCTCTAGTCAAGCCGCTCCTGAACAACAAACAACATCAGAAGTGTCTTACCTGGGCAAAAGAAAAACAGAACTGGTCTGTTGGTCAGTGGTCCAAAGTCCTCTTTTCTGATGAGAGCAACTTTTGCATCTCATTTTGAAACCAAGGATCCAGAGTTTGGAGAAACAAGGGAGACACACACACTGCAAGATCCTTGAAGTCCAGTGTGAAGTTTCCACAGTCTGTGTTGATTTGGGGAGCCATGTCATCTGCTGGTGTTGGTCCACTGTGCTTCATTAAGTCCAGGGTCAATGCAGCTCTTTACCAGAAGATTTTGGAGCAATTCATGCTTCCTTCCACAGATGAGCTTTATGGGGATGCTGACTTCATTTTCCAGCAGGACTTGGCGCCTGCCCACACTGACAAAAGCACCAAAACCTGGTTCAATGACCATGGGATTACTGTGCTTGATTGGCCAGCAAACTCACCTGACCTGAACCCCATAGAGAATCTATGGGGCATTGCCAAGAAAAAGATGAGAGACATGAGACCGAACAATGCAGAAGAGCTGAAGGCTGCTATTAAAGCATCTTGGTCTTCCATAACACCTCAGCAATGCCACAGGCTGATAGCTTCCATGCCATGCCACATTGAGGCAGTAATTGCTGCAAAAGGGGCCCAAACCAAGTACTGAGTACATATGCATGCTTATACTTTTCAGAGGTCCAATATTTCTCTATGTACAATCCTTGTTTATTGATTGCATGTAATATTCTAATTTTCTGAGATTGTGGATTTGAGGTTTTCATGAGCTGTAAGCCATATTCATCACAATTATGACAAATCACAGCTTGAACTATCTTGCTTTGCATGTAATGAGTCTATCTCATATATTAGTTTAACCTTTTAAGGTGCATTACTGAAATAAATGAATTTTTGCACGATATTCTAATTTTTTGAGTTTCACCTGTAAGTAGGATTCCTATAGAAAGTAATTTTCCCTATTTTTATATTTTGCTAATACTTGACTACTTTTGCAGTGTTAAAGACACAGAAAACAAGGGAAATATATTCTTGAAGATCAGACTGAGTATAGAAATATGACAATTTTATAATTTTATGATGCCCTGCATTAGCCAACTTGTGGAAAAGTTTAATGTCTCTAAGTCATTGGCAAAAACTAAGTTGATGTTTCTTGACAGTGCACAACTAGAATAGAATCCTAATTGTTCCAGAACTAGAAATGTCTTATTATAACATCCTGTACCAAACAATGGCATATTTGTTTGCCTGATCCAGTTTCATAGTTGAGGTCCCTACATTGTAGTCAACTCACTTCCATTTTGTGACAATATATAGTAGAAATAATCCTCTTGATGGTACTGTCAACATTGGATGGAAAGCCTACATCAGGATCAATACCCTACTAATACCCTACTAATATCAATTCCCTACTATACCTCATTGGAATAAATGTATTTACATGGAAGCTTTTGAACTTTCAGTGCTATTCTTTGACCATAAAACATTCCACAGGTATTTATATTCCATGAGACTGCATGAAATCTCTCATTTTGGGCTTGGCAATTAAATGAGCACTTGTAGTTCAATGTATTCTTACAATTATTTGCAGATGAGTGTGCAGGAATATGAGTTGTTGAATGTCAAAGAAGATGAGAGTTGTTTACAGCAATACCGGAAGCGCTGCATGAAGAACATGCACGAGCGACTGAGCTTTGCGCCAAGGCATGGCTATGTTTCTGAGCTGCAGGATGGGAAGGAGTTCCTGGAAGCTGTAGAGAAAGAACACAAAGCCACCACTGTAATTGTCCACATCTATGAAGATAACATCAAGGAGTGTGAGGCACTCAACAGCAGCCTTACTAATCTTGCTGCTGAGTATTCCATTGTGAAATTTTGCAAAATCAAGGCTACTAACACAGGGGCAGGAGACCGTTTCTCCAGTGATGTTCTTCCAACCCTGCTTGTCTACAAAGGTGGGCAGCTTGTAAGCAATTTCATTAGTGTAACTGACCAATTGAATGGAGAATTTTCTTCTACAGATGTGGAGACTTTCTTAAATGAGTATGGGTTACTCCCTCAGAAAGGAATTCCAGAACTTGACAATGGTGACATGGATGAACAAGAAATTGAACAGTAGATAAATTACCTGGTATTTCATCATCTATGCTCAATGAATTTTTAGTTTGGATCCCATTTGGGCCAAATTTATGTAGGAAATGCTGCATATATAGATGCAATATAAAAGACTTATTAATAAAATATAGAAAGATATAAAAGAAATAAGGGATGCCCAGGACTTCGCCTGGTGATCCATTTTTGGTTTTTTCCTCTTTTTCACTTTTACAAGAAATAAGACAACTAACACATTAGGATTGGTGACATCTTCTTACCAAGGGGATGCAATGTTAGCAGATGTAAATCATCCAATTGTAACTATAGCTTCTGTAGTACATTCAATTTTCAAAGATCACTGCAGATAGACTAATATTTAGGACATTAACTTTTTTGGAAGGATAGGAGTAGGAAGTGAGATTGTTTTAATTCTCATTTAGAAGGAATTTGACTAAAGTAAAACACATATAGAAGTTGACAGATCCCTAAAAGACAAAGTACCTTTGGATGGAGCTACCAACATTATAAAATGTTCATCAAAAACTCAAAGGAAACTTTGATTTCATTAGAATTTTAGAGATGCAAAACATTTGCCACATTAAGGGTAGAGACAAGTTGCCTTTTCAACACTGAATGTTGAGGGCAGCTCTAAACTCTGGTGAACACCAACTTTGGTTAGTCTATCAACAGTTTTCTGATTCTGAATTTCCTTGGTTTACCTATATTGCTGCAAGAAATCCTTTTTGAGAATACATGATGAATCTGATAACAGTATAAGTTAGAAGTACAACAGATCCATCACATCTTATAACATAACTGTTATAATTTAGTTAGTTAAAACGGTTATCTAAGAGATCAGGCATCTGAGCATCTAAATGTTATTGTCAGACTCAGGATGTTGTTGCAATGCCAGAAATGTCAGACTCTGGATAGGCTGGAATAGGATCAAGCTTAACCCTTTGCAAGATTAACTAGCTGTAGATATTTGGATCTCCTGCTCCCCCAAGATCAGGTGTCTTCCATTTTTAGCCTTAAATAGAGTTGCACCATTCAGGACTGTTGTATAATTTGAGGTGTTCTCCTGGATTAAGCTCCTTCTTAAGAAACAAGTGGAAGCTGTGGCCAAAAGGGCCTTTGCACAGATTCATCTTGTGTACCAATTGCATGCATTTTTGTACCAGGAAACCCTCCTCACAGTAATTCATGCTTTGGTTAACTTTCATGAGCTCTTCATGGGACTTTCACTGAAGACCCAGAAACTACAGCAGCAGGAGTGGTTCTGAGTATGCTGTAATGAGTGTAGGTAATCTAAGATACTAGTTATCACCTATAAAGCCCTTTATAACATAGGGTCTGGTTATTTGAAGGATGGTCTATTTCCTTGATATCTATCCATTCATTAAGGCAGTAAAGTAAGTCACTTTAGTAGCAATACCTGATGCTTGTCCAAAAGATATGCATAATTGGAAATGTGGTTTTCCAATATTTCATTTCAGAAACAACTAAAAATAGGGAAAATGGGGAGTGAGAATTTCACTTTAGCGAGATATCCTAGAAATTCATTTTTTCTTGAATGGCTAAAATGGCTATTATCAGCGCTTAAGTATGGGCCAGCAGTGTGCTGTAGCTGCTAAAATAGCCAATGTAGTCCTAGGTTGCACAACAGAGCAAGATCACATGAAGTAATAGTATTTGTTAATACTGCACCGATGAGACTACACTTGGAATACTGCATGTAATTCTGATCACCATGATACAAAAAGGATTCTGAGAACTAGAGTGCACTGAAGAGCAACAAAAATGATTAGGGTTCTGGAAGCTAAACCATATTGAGGGAAGTAGGTATGTCTAGTCTAACGAAGAGAAGGACAAGATTTGATCTAATAGCAGTCATCCAGTATTTGAGGGGATGTCATGGACAAAAGATTGACCTGTTCTCCAAAGCAGCTGAAGGCAGAACAAGAAGTAAAGGTGGAAGATCATTAAAGAGAGATCCAACCTAGAACTAAGAAAAAATTCCTAATAGTTGGAACAATTAGTCAGTGGAATGGCTTGCCTTCAGAAGATGTGGGTGCTCCATCATTGGAGATTTTCAAGAAGACAGTGGATAAATATTTGTTTGGAATTATCTGCTTGAGTAGATGTTGAATTAGAAGACAACCCTACTATTCTATGTTTTATTATGATCAGACAGAGTCAACATGGTTTGAGTCTCATTGGTATAACAGTGCCACCTGATGAGACCCAGGAAGCAGACCTTCTCTGTTCAGAGACTGCCCTTTGATACAACATCCTCCCAAATATTTGAACAGCTCCTATGCTGACTTTGTTTAGATAAACCTTGAAGACCTGGCTCTTACCCCTGGGCCTAGCTTAGGGAGTATGACAAGCCCTTTGGGAATTACAGGAAGTTGAAGACCATAGTTGTTTTTCTTATAATAATACCACCTGAGTTTGTTATGATATTTTATCCTATTCTTTTTAATACTGTACATTACTTGGAGTTGTTATGCAATTGGACAGCTTTAGAAAGTTAACCTAACAAGAAATAAGCAAATCAATAAAACTGTCTGATTTGTGAGTAGTTACCATAATTTGATTTGAAATTACTAGCAAAAAAAAAAAGAGAGACTTGAAGAACATTATATTTAGCATGTGCTGTTTGGAAAGCATCATACAACATTAGCTGCTATTCAAGTACATTCTCTCTTCAAATCTGTAGATAAATTAAAGAGCATATTTTAACTCACTTTTAAATGTGTGCAATTAATAAACTTAGGCTAGTGTTGGAAAAGGTATAAAGAAAATGTATACATGCATCAAAACACTTATTAAATACTGTATGATGTCACATGGTAAATTAAAACAATGTGTTCATAAAACAATATCAATGACTAAACCTTTCTATTCTGTGCTGATGTAATTAAAGGCTAGTTAAAACATACCTTTTAAATGGGTCTATTCTATTTTTTTTATTATGTGAACACAGAAAATATAAAAAAACAATTAAGAACAAGCAAACACTGATTTGTTTCCATGTATTTAAGCCGCTGTAATGGGAAAAACCATCACTGCAGCCTTCTCAATGTTTAGACAGAGGGAGGTGAGATAATAGGGCTGGGGCTAATGCTTCTCCCCTGGGCATAATCAGTATACAGTTGTGCAAGAAAAACTCAGAAAATATGGTTTGTGCTTTTGCTAGACAACTTCTAAGAGGGAAGTGGGAATGGAGAAGAGGGAAGGGGGAAAGGGGAAGGGAAGGACTAATGACTTCTTCTGGTTTTGTCTTTAGCACCATTAGAATACACACTCTCTCATCTAGCGTGATCCCCAAATATTTCATTTACTAAAAGTGAAGTAAACAGGAACAGTTGTGCAATGTATATTAAATAAAGTCTTATACCAAATGACTAATCTCACAGCAAGAGGTCTAACACATCTGACAGGCAGAAAGTTGAATGGAAAATATTCTGGCTTAATTGGGAAAGTGGGGGAGCTCTCAGATTCCTTTCATATTGTGGATCTCTCTGGAGTTTTCCAGTTTGAACCAATTTCACAGATGGGGAACCACAAAAGAGGAACCTACCTTCTGTCCCAACCTACCTTGCCTTCAAGTGAATAGAATAGAATAGAATAGAATAGAATAGAATAGAATAGAATAGAACAGAACAGAAATACAGAAATAGAAATAGAGGAGAGGAGAGGAGAGGAGAGGAGAGAAGAGAAGAGAAGAGAAGAGAAGAGAAGAGAAGAGAAGAGAAGAGAAGAGAAGAGAA